TTTCCCTTTGGGTTTTTCCTGCTTATATGTGTACCTTTCAATGCTCGGTTGTATCTACTAGAGAGATTTTGTTGGAAAAGTTAAAAAAAAAAAAATGATGCATGTTATCTATGTTGTTTCTTCTAATGAATACATATATTGTTTTCTAAGATAAATGCTAGGTCTCTTTGTGAAAATATGTATTAAATGTGAAACAGTACCATCCTAAACAAACCACAGTATCCTTTAACATCATGTATAGTCATGTACCACCTAACGATTGGGATATGTTCTGAGGAATGCATCATTAGGTGGCTTCCTTGTGGTGGGGAAGTCATAGAGTACACTTGAGCTACATAGATGGGATGGCCTCCTACTGCAATAGTATGTGCTATGCTTTTATACCTTTGGCAGTGCGGTAGGTTTGTTTACCCCAGGGTCTCCACAAACACAGGAGTAACTTTAGTGTGAGTCCTCGAAGTTGAATTTTCTTCTTGTAATGCGAGTGCTTGATTTACTAGTAAGGTTTTCTTGTTCTGGCCTCCACTTCAAAGCTGGAAATCTCCAATAAACATTCGGCCTGTCATATAATAGAACCGGATGGTCAGGATGCCTCCGCCCACGGAGGCTCCTGTATTATGAAGATCTTGGTTATCTCACTAACTGACCATTTGGGCTACTTGCATTTGATTTCTCTTTCTGCCCTTTGGGTTCCTGCCCCTATGTTTTAAAGAGTGGGCCCTTGAAACTGTAGGCCCCACCTTCCTCACCAGTAAAAGCAGATCCCAGTCCCTACACATGCTCCCTCTTTCTCTCCACCTGTGGCCTCCCTGTGTGCCCCTTGGTTTGCCTTGTATGGCCCATGGATTGTAAGTAATACACTTTATTCTTTCTTCAAAGTTTCCTAATGATTATCACTGAAGGGTGTCTTGAAAGCATAATAAATCCCAAGGGTCTGTCCAGTGGTAACACTGGTTTTGAAAGAAACTATGTCATGATCTTGCTCAAATGTGGACTCTAATGAAAAATAAACAAACAAACAAAAACTGATGAACACAATAGATCCAGTGACACAGAAACATGGACCAAACAGGAATTTCAGAGGGAAGATGGGGGAAAAGGATTGGGTGGTTGGGGGGCATAGGGAGGGCAGGTGATTAACTGGGGAACTTATATGCATATACCAGTATACATATATGCATAGTCCAGGGACAGAGACAATATAGGGGTAAAGGCCTGGGAAGAGGCAGAAACAAACAAAGGGGACATCTGTAATACTTTCAACAATAAAGATAAATTTAAAAGAGAGAGACAGGCTATGTCCATGGCAGCTCCGTGGACCCAGATGAGTGCCCTCAGGCATTTACAGCCAATAGGTGGCATTATTACTATAGACTGAGAAGGCTCAAGTCAGTCATACTTGCACTATGATGATGTTGTATTGGGCTACTACATCACTGGGCTATAGGAATTGTTCAGCACCGCTATACTCTTTAGGACCACTAACTTATATGAGGTCCAGTGTTGACTATAATGTTGTTATACAATATATGACTGTATTACTAGTGTCAAAAAATTCTCAAGATTCAAATATCACAATTGCTTTGGGAAATAATCTTAGAAATCATATTGGAAAATACATTATTTTTACCTTTAACTCTAGGTTTTCTGAAAACTCATAAATAGTAGCATAAGGAAAAAAAACCCTTTTAAAGATTAGCTGTTAGTATTTCAGTTCTAATAAGTTATTTAAGACAATTACAGTTGTCCAAATCTTTCAGAAACTTATTGAAGCCTTTACCAAGAGAGGACATTCTTTTATTCTCCCTACTGTACTTCATATCTTCAAAATATTAAAACTAGTACAGGGCATGGTAACTACATAGTCAAATGAAACGGAATGGCTTTAAATGCTTATCTTTTATCCCACCTACTCTCACTTCCAAGCTAACTCTCCTGAAATATTTAGAGTTTGATATTTCCATTTTTAATTTTTCTGATGATTATCAATGTAATTCTAAATAGCACACTTGTTTCTTTTATGTATTCATATCTCACTATATGACATGAAAAAATGTGGAATTTAATTAGCACTTCTTCCTCCTTCTTGGTTGTTTGCTATGTTATTTTTAAATTTTTATTGTTTATGTAACTCTAAAGAATATGATTAAAACTCCATTGTTTATTCCAACAAATTTAGATGGTATAGAAAGAGGATGTTTAAACAATGTGGCTACCAAAACTCTTAACACCTCTTATGTGTTGATTACTCAACAGTGCTAAAGAAATAAGCAGAGTGAAGGTGATTAGCAGGGACATCCTAAATATCATGATCTGTTCACATTTAGCTCTAACAGAACAGCTCAGAATATTTTTTTAATTAGGTAAGTAATTAAGTTATTTCAAAAAGCTGGAGTCTAATTAGGAATGCTTGGTATATTGCCCTGATTATAGGAAATGAGATGGGATTTCAGAAAATCCTGAGATTTGTAATGCCTCTCGAGATCTAAGAAGATTCACACTTTTCGGAAAAGTTACTTCAGTGTTAATTATAGTTGAACCAGGAGTAATGTAGCTCAGCTGTAAGCTGACATTGGCTGATACCATCAGATTCCTTTGAGAAATGGCTAGGAAGAGCTGATCAACCCATAACTTCTACATTCAAACGTGTGCTTTGAACAGTATTGGGATTTTTTCACTTTATAGAGAAATATATGTACTACCGTGTTTCCCCCAAAATAAGACATCCTCCGAAAATAAGACCTAGCGCATGGAAAGATAGACATTCCCTGAAAATAAGACCTAGCGCAACTTTGGGAGAAAAAATTAATATAAGACACAGTCTTATTTTCGGGGAAACAGGGTATGTAGAAAGGCAACTGACAATTGGAAATGCACATGTTTGTGTGTTGGTGGGGGAAGGCAGGTAGAGAGGAAAAGGGATAGGGAGAAAGTAAAATGGAGAGAAAGAGGCACAGCAATGTGATGAATAGAGAACAAAACAATTGACAATTTTCACATTGCCCATAACTTTTTTATTTTTTATTTTTTAAAAATATATTTTGTTGATTTTTTATAGAGAGGAAGGGAGAGAGATAGAGAGCTAGAAACATCGATGATGAGAGAGAAACATCAACCAGCTGCCTCCTGCACACCCCCCACCGGGGATTGCCCGCAACCAATGTACATGCCCCTGACCAAAATCGAACCTGGGACCTGTTTCAGTCCGCAGACCGAAGCTCTACTGCTGAGCCAAACCGGTTTTGGTGCCCATAACTTTTTTAGAGAGAAGATTTTTTTCACAGAAGGTTGAAAAGAAAAATAACATATAACTATAATTTTAAAAAATGCATTATCAGCCATTTTTCATCTCATCAACAATCATACCCACACACTACCAGCAGTAAATGATCACAGAAATTTTAGATCCAAGTTGAGAAAATAATGGCTAAACACCAAGAAAAGATATAAAAACTAGAATTCAGCAAACATTGTCTAGAGTTTGAAATTATATAATAGTAATTCTGAAAATGGTGTATAACATTCTAATAGAACCAAGGGATCATTTATTCCGTTGATCTCTAGTAAAAATTTATGTTGAATAGGCTCAACCAATATAAAAATGTCAATCATTAGATTATATGAAGATATTTTCATTTTTTGAAACAATTGAGGTATGAAAAACAAAAAGAAGAACTGAATTTATTGATATTAAAGGAACAAAGTCATTATTCTGCTCAGTAATAAGATGGAAATTCAACTCTTTTTACAAAATATTAGTTTTTCAAAATAATTATTTTTCAAAATATTTATTAACTAATTTATTTCTTTTTAGAGAGAGTAAAAGGGAGGGAGAGAGAGGAAAGGAGAGACAAACATCAATGTGTCTGGGATGCCTCCTGTATGTGCCCTGCACATACCCAGGTATGTGCCCTTGACTGGGAATCAAACCCGTGACTGGTGCGTGGACTGATACTCTATCCACTGAGCTACACCGGCCAGGGCTCAAAATATCATTACTCTTTCTTAGCATGCCAGAATTGTATGTTTCTGCTGGAATTGTAAACTACTGGTTTTGCATAAAAGTACATATGTTTCAAGGTCTATTACTTGAGAAGAACTAATAGAAAAGAACAGTAAATTAATTCATTAGAACCTGAAACTGTCAGATATTGAGATATACCTTATTTTCCTTTATAATTACCACTTACATTTTCGGACTAAAGGTTGTAAATACTTAAACCCATATACTGTGTATTAAGAGTATTAGTTCAAAGAGAGTTTATGTGTGATTCTAGGAAATGTGCTAATAATACCTCCTTCTCTGGTAATCATTATGCAAAATAACACACTTAAGCCTCTGAAAAGACCTGTAGTAGATTAACTTTTTCAAATTATATTTTATAAAATATTTCCCAAACTTATCTCTGCAGAGTACACATTTGTTTTTTTTCAGCATACCCATCATAATCTAGTATCAGCGTTAACTTATGTCCTATTCACCACTGTTTTTATAATTAAAGTTGTATTTCAACATAGTCATGTTCACTTGCTGCTCTTCTGTTACAATGGCAAAGTTGAGAAGCTGCAACAGAGACTTTATGCCTGGCAAAGCCTACACATATTTATTATCTGGTCCTTCATAAGAAAATGCTTGCCAATCTTAAATAGAAGATAACAATAATGCTTGGTAGTTTTATATTTCTTTTGATAAGATGATCTACAGAAATTTAAAATTTATGGATATCTCGCTCCCTTGCTTTCCTTTTAAGAGAAATTCTTAGTATAAAGTTCTATGCATGTAATTACTATGTATTTTTTATTTCAACTTGAAGGTCACCTTGCTCCTTCAGATTCAAGATTAACCAGCCTAAGGTGTTATATTACCAATATTAAAATCTGAGTTAAACTACTGGCTCAGTTGTCATTTAGCTGTCCACACTATAATGTCTGAATGTCAATTTTTTCACAAGGTATTATGAATGAAGCTGAATTAAACTCTCTGACTTTATTTATTTCAGGAAGAACTGAACCCCATCATCGTTACCCCACCCATCCAAGCCATTGATCAGGACCGGAATATTCAGCCGCCATCAGATAGGCCAGGCATCCTCTATTCCATCCTTGTTGGTTTGTATCTGCTGACATTTTATAGTTTAAGTTATCACTCTGGAATCATGTAGGAAAACACTTGTCTCAAGTCAGTGTAAATAACTTTAATAATAAAAATTTCTTTTTGGAAATTATTAAGTATAAATAACTGTACAGGTATTTTTTTCTTTCTTAGAATTAGTTTCAGTGAAATGTGTAGAAAAACAGAATTTAAAAAATAAGTAGAAGTAGAAAAACAACTTTAAAAAATACTGAAGTAGGAAAACAACTTTAAAAAATAAGAGGTTAATCTACATATTGGTGTTTTCCTCAATATCACCTCCTAAAGAATTCTCTAAGAAAAAAAAGAAAAGAAAAGAAAAACTTGCACTGTTTGCTTATCAGTATTTTATCATTGGTGGATGCAGATACATAATTCTGAAAATATATGACTGAATTAAATAAGGGTGTTTGGAGCCATATGGGAGAAAGAGAGAGATTATAATTAGCCCAAGGGTTCATAATACATTATTCCCTTGGCTAATTTTTTTCTTGAAAAATTTCACAGAAGCTGTCTTAATCCATCCTTGTGCATATACTGCTAATTGTACCCAAAGAAAAAATGATGAGAACTTAATTATGTTACCCAAATTGCTTTTTCCCCACATGAATTGATTTTGCTGAAATATGGATGCTGCTGCTTTGCAAGGCTTTTAGTCTCTGGATAGACAGATGCGTCTGAGACAGACCATACATCCCTTCATGAAGGAAGAGTTGCTTTCAAAGTATGTTTGAAAATAACTATTCAGTGGAACTCAACATTACCCTCAAACTCTTTCTATTCCCATGCCCCATCTACATATAAGAACCCAACAATCTGCAGACCTTAAATTTCAAAATATGATGATGTACTTAAAAATGCTATCGGTAAAGAAAACTCAAATAATTTTGTTCCAAGCATTTGGTCTCTAGAATATATCATATACCAGTGGCTGAGATTAGACTATTACATTTTTAAAAAACTCTTTTGAGCATAAACATAAGCTTCCTTTTAGTCTATAGGACTCTTGTCATAGATAAACAGGAATACGCATTTTTCATGTAATTAACTAAAGGTTTGAGGTATGTCAATCACTGCACCAGATGCTGTAGATAGGACTATGAGGGTTCAATGTTCCAAGCTAAGGTGAGATAGAGCATATAACTAAAAACATGTCAAAAGGTAAAATGATACACATAGTTTTAAGCACTATCAATAAAATATGAGACATATCATGTGGGCTTATGGGAGGAGAGTGCTAAGGTTTTCTAAGAGAATTACTTAGGAAGAATTATTTCAGTAGGAAGACTGGGATTTCTGAGTAGAAAATGGCAGACAAATGATCTAATGCAGCATGTGTGAAGTCCAAAGGATGTAATTTAAAAATAGTCTTTGGGGACATGTTACTTAGAGTGGGCTGATATCCATGGGCATTCATAAGGTTTTTCACATTTAAATATTACATGTATTGCCCTAGCCAGTTTGGCTCAATGACTATAGTTTTGATCTGTGGACTGAAGGGTCTTGATTTTGATTCCAGTCAAGGGTGTATACCTCAGTTGCAAGCTAGATCCCTGGCCCCAGTCAGGAAGTGTGCAGGGGCCACCAATCAATGTGTATCTCTCACATTGATGTAACCCTCTGTCTCTCCCCCTTCCCTTCCACTCTATCTAAAAAATCAATGGAAAAAATATCCTTGGCTGAGGACTAACAAAAATAAAATTTAATGTATTCATTCTTTAAATAAAAACAACTACTCTATGGAGCAAGGCATATTCCTTATATTATAAAGCTGGTTTTCTGGCAACAGAGACCAGCAATAAATAATTAATATAATAAACAAACAAATAAATACACATATTTATAAAAGAAAGGTGGTGGCTGGAGCTATGGAAAAAAATAAGCTGGGTAAGCAGGATTGGAAGTCAGAAGAGGTGTTGCAATATAAGTTTCAGTATTAAATAAGATGATCAGGATATGCTTCATTAAAGAGGTGAGATTTGAACTCAGTCTTATAAAAGTTGAAGGAGTTAGGGATGTTGATATGTGGAAAGGCATAGATAAAAGCTGGAGTTTGTGTGGCTTATTTCAGAAACATCAAAGAGGCCAGAGGCACTGAAGAATAGTGAATGAAGAGGAAATAGAAAGAAGGGGTGAGAAATAAGAGGAGGCCAGGAAATACAGAGTTTTGAATACTAATTATCTACTCTGTAATTTTCTCTGAGTGAAATGAGGAAGCAATGTAGAAATCAGAGCATAAACATGACACAATGGTAAGTTCCATCAATTTCTAACTGCAGGATGGTGGATAGTCCTAAAGAATAAACATAACCTCTAACAGTAAATTTACTTTTACATCTATCTTAAGTAAAGTAATATCCTTTCATAGTACTGATATTTCTAGAAGGCAGGCATGATAGGTGTAGAGAACACAACTTCTGTATTTTTACTGTCTATGTTCAAATTCTACTTTAATGCTTGCCAACATGTAATATTAGGCAAATTACTAACCTCTCTGCTTCAGATTGTTCCTCTTTAAAATGGGGTTGATCAAAATTGATCTTTCTGTAAAAAGGTTTAGAGGATTTGACTTAATTATATAAATATGTCTAGTGTTTGGAAAAAGTTAGTGCTCAAATAACATTACTCGATGTTGTTGTTCCCATTAGGAAAAAAAAGGAAGCATGTTTCCTTAGTCATACAACAATGGTAAGAGAAGCAACACACACACACACACATACACACACACACACCCACAGCTTGTAACAACATCCTTTTCCACATTCTAGCCTTCTAAACATTAAGTAACCTTGCACATAGTCTATTAGGTACATTTTTTTATGCCTTTTGTTCTCTAGAATTTTTACTCAATTTTTAAATAAACTCTACCAAACTAGAAACTATTTTCTTCTTTATCTTTTTGGATATTTGGCTTACTTTTCTCTTTTACCAGGAACTCATTACTAGAAAATAAGATAGAGGTATTGTGAATTATTTTTATTATTATTATCCTTTAAGTAAGAAAAAAGTTTGATTTTATGGCACACATTATTTGGATATGTTTCCTCAACTGTACATGAGATCAATACCAGTCATATTTTTATAGCTTCCACTGAAAATCCTTTTAGAAAACTATTAATTTCTGAATACTTTTTAAACATCTTGTACTTTTTCTTTTTTAAAAATATATCTTATTGACTTTTTACAGAGAAGAAGGGAGAGGGATAGAGAGTTAGAAACATTGATGAGAGAGAAACATCCATCAGCTCTCTCCTGCACACCTCCTACTAGGGATGTGCTAACAATCAAAGTACATGCCCTTGACCGGAATCAAACCCGGGACCCTTCAATCCACAGGCCTGCGCTCTATCCACTCAGCCAAACTGGTTAGGGCTTCTTGTACTTTTTCACATAAGGGTCACATAGTTCAGAATAATAAGCCACAAAAACTGAAACTCATAAAAATATATTTTCCTAAAAATTGGAGAATAGAATGAGTTCATAGATGAACACATTATTGACAGTAATGAGATAGGTAGGACATATATTTGTAAAGGAAAAAGTTGAAAAGTTTTTTATAAAGAGCTTCCAAAACTCAGTGACTTAAATCAAATATGTACAGTAAGAAGCTATTTTTTTCTCATGTAATGGCACATCTGTTTATGGGCCTGGGTTTATGGGAAAGATTTATCCTTCTCAATACTTGGTTTGCTATGTTATTTCAGTCATTTACATATGACAATCAGTGGGGAAAATGGTAAGTCCAGGGTAAGTAACTGGAAGTGAACCAAAATTTGTCAAAATATGAAAACATATTTTATAGAAATATAAGGGAAGTTGTAGAGACAGCGGGTGGTGTTTTGGTGGTCTGTTGCTGTACAATAAACCACTCCAAAGATTAGTGACCCTAAATGACAAAGATCCATCATTTCTCCTGTTCCTAGATATTGATTGGAATCAACTGAGTAGCTCTGCTTTATTTATGTGCTGTAGTTGAGGCTACTCTAATGTTTGCATTCAGCCAGAACTAAACATCCAAGGTGGCTACTAGCCCCTTCTCTCCATTTGGCCTCCCTCACTCAGTAGTCTTCTTTTCAGAGTTGGTTGTTGGCTTCTAAGAGAGTGAAAGTGAGAACTGCCAGCTCCAGCTTAATCCTGGAACTGGAACAGAAACACATCTATTGACCAAAGCAAGTGAGGTCATCTCAGATTCATGGAGATGGAAAATATATTGCTCCTTGATGGGAAGCAAAAAAATCTACAGCCATTTCTGAGCTGGGTTCAAGGGATTTCTTTTTAGTGAATATGTTTGTTTTTTTCATGGACAAGAACCCTCTTGTTTATTTTATTAAATAATTTTTTGATCCTTCATTTCAAGCGTTAAAAATAAGTTTGAGTAAGCCCTCTAATATTTAAAAAGTATACATGCATTACTATCATTAGTTAATATTTAATGCTTAATAATTGCATAGAGCACAGATTATTATTTATTACATTAGATATAAATCTAATATATATATTTTATATATAATATAATATAATATAATATAATATAAAATCACATTTCCAATAATTCTATTTTGCTTAAAAATTGTCAATCTAATGTTATTTCAGGTCTGCTTGAATCTTTATGATTTGATTTAATGACATGATGATTAGGCCTTACACTAGGACAGTGTTCGGCAAACTGATTAGTCAACAGAGCCAAATATCAACAGTACAATGACTGAAATTTCTTTTGAGAGCCACATGTTTTAAGCTTCTTCTAACATCACTTCTTCAAAATAGACTGGCCCCAGGCTGTGGTATTTTGTGGAAGAGCCACACTCAAGGGGCCAAAGAGCTGCATGTGGCTCGCTAGCCTCAGTTTGCCGACCATGGCACTAGGAGCATAGCGAGTAAGTCTCCTGCCACTTTCTTGGTGTTTACTTTTAGTGTTATCTTTAATCTCGGGTTCATTGAAAAAATATTTCCCAACAACTTATTCATTTTGTAAGTA